ATTTATTAATGTGAAGCCATTGATTGAAAGTAGTAAGTATGAAAGCTCGTCGAAAAGTTGAACACGTAAATAGATAATGAAGACAAGAGTCGAGTGTTTAATCAAAAGAATGTGGAAGACAGACGGTGAATAAGAGAGTGTTTTGAGCACGTGAGAAAGTAGGAGAGAGAGAGAGAAAAATAGACACGACGAACGTATATTTTGAACGATACGACGCGGCGGGACGTTTTTAAAATTAAGAGCTAAGAGTACTCATACTCACTTATGGTCCCGGGAAAGGCGCATGCATCCTCCGTCTAACTCTGCAGTCCGTACCACTAGAGAAAAAAACAAAAGTAGAACGAAACGCGCAAACCGAGCAAAAATTACGTCTCCTGCATTCAATCGAGTTACGAAGTGAAAGATGGATAGAGAAAATCGAAGAGGTATAGATAGAGAGAAAGTATTATAAAAGAGCGCAACACATCCAGCCAGACGCACATCGCACGCATGTACGTATAATATATATATATCTATCTATCTATCTATCTATCTACCTACCCATATGTATCTATCTATTTATACATAATATATCTGTTCGTATGTATATATGTACTTATTTATTCACATATACATATGTCTATCTATTTATATATATGTATATTCTACTTGTCGTTAGACACATATGCATGTAAAATCTATATACATATCTCGTATGTATATACGATATATAAGTAAACGATCGATCGTTGTTCTTGGGTCGATCATGCCGCTGAAACAACCTTCGAGAATCACGTCCATGTTCGAAATTCTCGATACCCGCTCGCTTCTCAATCACAATATGTATGGGCGTACGCCGAACGTATACACGCTGCTAACTGCATGCCAAACATACTCTATTGTACGCCTCTATGTATACATGTACATACTATGTAATATGTATATATTGTTCGTTGCATTACACGAGTATGCACAATGCACAGCCCGTCTCTGACCCGCCGCGCTACACGGACGTGTACTACGCGACACGTTGAGACCGTTGGTTAGGGGCGTACAGGAAAAAGAATAAAAACGTCCCTCGTACGGAAATAATGATTTCCTTTCACCCCCTTGCGTGCGGTTGTGAAGTAAATATGGGGCTGTACGATTTTATTCAATTTTCTGGCTGCGTGACCCTCGCCAACGCGATTCTACGAGCTTGTTAACGCTTTTTAGTAACCGCGTGCGATCGATAACAGCGATTTAAGGGCGGGAACGAGTTTTGATGCCACTTACCCGGCCGTTGTCGAAATCTCGGCCGCCACCGATCGTCAGTCGGGCTTTCGCTTTCATCGCGTCCGACAACGGTATCTGCAAAATCGCGAGTTAAACGAATAGAATTTTTCTTAAGCTTCTTTTTATAGTGCACTATACTGGAACGTGATTAATGATTAGTAATAGGACAGTGTTCCGTAGGTAGGGGGGGTTAGTGTTACTTATTTTGTTACCTTCGCTCTTGTCGCTTCTGTATGGGATTTGTAGCAGAATTCTAGTAACGCGACGGCCAATGCTAGGAG